CGTGTCCTGTTACCTGCCTTAGTGCCTTTCCTCCTCCTGGCTTAGCCTGTCATTCTCTCATCTTACTACAGAATGGCCTTTGGGTCTTGTACCTGAGAATGTTTTCACCAGAACAGCTGTTGAATCAAGAAGATTTTAGTGATGGGGAGGGTAAAATGAAAACTCATCAACTGTATCCCTTGAGTATCTACTGATGATGCCTCTCTATTTATATCATTTTAAAATTTAATTTAACTTGGAATACTGCCAGTGCCTGAAGTCTCTTGGCAGGCAGAGAGACGGAGGCTCCCAAATCCTGTCTGTGATATATTTATATCAGGAGCCATGTTTCTGTCGCATTTTCTCTGATTGGGGCTATTTTATGAGGCTAGTGGAACTCAGAAGGTTCCAGAACATCTCATCAAGCTAAAGCCTTGGAGGAATATGCTGTTGTGAAATTCTATGTTTTAGGAAGCTTTTCAAATGAAAAAAATTGACAGTTTGAGTATCATTATAACCAGCTCTAGGAAGGAGGCAGTGGCAAACCATTTCTGAAATCTTGCCAAGAAAATTGCAGAGACTTGTCCAGGCAGTTGCCAGGAGTCAAAAACTGACTGAAAGGCACACACATAAGGCTGCTAGTGGGACTCGTGGATTATGTTTGACCTGATGGAGCACAACTGAGCCCTACTAATGTGTTATTTGTTTATTTCCTTTTGGTTTATTTACTCAATCCAAATCATAAAGACATTTGTTATCTTAGTATTACAATGTAAGTGAGAAAGAGGATTGATTGTACAGTAAGTTCATCTAGAATTGAGGGCATGGTTGCACTTTTCTTTCCTAACAGCTATTTGCTGTTAGGGTACAGCATTGGTATTAAATTTGGAAAATGTTAAGAATGCTAGCAGAAGCATGATCACATAAGGAACTAGTCAAAAGTGTTCTTCTTTGAGGATATTATAAATGTTTTTTTTCCTACTGCAGCCCCCATGTTGGATGAGTCTGTGGTTACTCAGTTAGTGGAGATGGGTTTTCCAATGGATGCCTGCCGCAAAGCTGTATATTACACAGGGAACAGTGGGGCTGAGGCAGCAATGAACTGGGTCATGTCCCACATGGATGATCCAGGTATGTTAACCAAATGGAACCTCATACTCAATCCCCATGGTCTAACTCCTGGCAAATGATAGTATCTTGGGGCACAATGTATAATCTATGAGTGAAATACAATTCAGAACGTGAACAAGTCAAAGATTGTAGGATTAAATGGATGCAAAATTTGAATATAGTTAGAGATGGAACAGTGGGAATTTGAATGGAAAAAAATATTAAGTTTACCTTGAAGATTAAACTTAGAACTGGTGTGTTTTATTGTTGGTACATTATTCCATGACTGCTAAAATGAGTAACTCCTTTTCCCCAAAATGCTGGAAAACAATGAACGTATTGGATCTTTCTTCCATATGTAGTGGCAATGTTGCAGAGCTCAACACTACTGGAATTTTTTTTTACCATAATTTTTATTAAAGTTTAAAAATACAAAGATAAAAAATGAATACAAACTAAGAAAAATATAAAAAGAAAAAGTACAGAGAAAAAGAGAAAGAAAAAAACATAGACAAGAAAAAAGATATATAAAGAAATGACTTCCCCATTCACCAAACAAGTACAGACAATTTCAATAACTTATTACCTTCTGTAACATTTCAACAAAAGATCTCTTCTTCCCATATCTCATCTCTTATCTATAAACAAATTATAAAGCCTTATCATTCAGCCCTAATCAGCAAAAGTCCATTAAGAGTTACTGGAAATAACAACATATATATTTTAACCTTAATCAAATAAATCAATTACATATTCCTTTCCTTTTAACGCAGTAACTTATCATTTTCTCTTAAAAAAACAAAACAAAAAAAAAAATCTTCCTCCCATATCTTATATCTTATCTATACACAAATCTTTAAAGCCTTATCATTCGAACCTAGTCAAGAAAAATCCATTCAGAGCTACCAGAAACAACATATTAAGAATCTTGATGTTTAATCCTTTCAAATACTGTCCCAAAAGTTAATTTCTTCTCATTTTCTCTTTATCTCCTCTCAGAAACTCCTTCACAAGTTTAACACATACCAGAACTAATGACATCTGTATTTTAACTTTAATCAAATATGCCTATTTTATAATCCTTTACTTTTAACACCATAACTTATTGCTTTCTCTGAAAATACAAAAAAAAATAAAAATCTCTTCTTCCCATATCTTACCTTTAAACAAATCTCTGAAGCCTCATCATTCAGTCTGGTCAAAAAAAACCCATTAAGAGCTACTGGAAAGAACATCATATATATTTTAACCTTGATCAAACAAGCCAACTTTATATTCCTTCTTTTTACTTTTAAAAATCTTGATGTTTATTCCCTATTTAGTGTCCCAGAAGCTGATTTCTTTTCATTTTCTCTTTGTCTTTTCTCAGGAACTCCTTCATGAGTATAACACATTTCTTTTGTAAGTCCAAGATAAGAGAGTTGTCCAAGTCACTCTTCTGATTTATTATTTGTGTATCCCTTTTGGTTATTAAAACATCAACCAGATTCATTTGTAAATCCAGTGTAACATCTTTTTCCATATCATTCTTGTAGCTTGTCATTTTCAAATCCAAATTCAAAACAGCCTGATTTTCAGTTGTATCCTATCTCCACTTTTAAACCCATTTTTATGGTAGCAGACAGTCTTAAAAGAAATTTCTGAGTGCATTGTTCCCAAATATCTTTGAATTCTTCTAAAGATAAAACACTTTTCTCCATTCTGTATTAGTGGGTCTCTTCTCCCTTAATTATAATCTTTAGTTCTTTCTGGTTGCCTCTAGTGTCCAGCCTTCAAAGTCTCCTCTTATCACGTTCGTCTGTAATCCACAACATTTTCCCATGGGAATATTTCTTACACTTAGATTCAAAATATTCATATATTTTTAATAGGATTTTAAACAACCCACAGGAAGGATTCTTATAATTAATTTCAAAATCTTATTTCCAATCCATCTAGCCCCTTAGTCTGTTTGTAACTTTCTGAAATCAATGTTCTAATCACCCTTTTGCTGTTTATTTCAGAATAATTTTTTTAAAGTTCTTAAACTTACATGAAGCTTCTTTTGCTGAGGATTGAAGGAGAATCACCCGGTGAGATGAAACTTGTCGTTCTGAAGGTTCTTAATGTCCAAAAGACAGTTAAGAAGCAATTTCCAAATGTAATTAAGAAAGGAAGTGGGCGAACCCAGTGTCAGTTTGAAGGCTCTGAACCACAGCCTGGGCAAAGCTGACTCTCCCTCGGCTCCCAGAGCTATTTTACGGTCTCCTTGCAGGGAGCTTCTGTATGGAGCACGTGTGGGCAATCTCAAGTCCTCCCCTTTATCTGGAAAGGGTTTTTGAGGTGCCAATCACTTCATCAGCCCTTGTTCTGCCATGGTTGTTGACTCTGCTGAAAGCAGAGCTGTCTTCAGTCTGCCATTCTTTCCCTGGAATTCAACACTATTAGAAATTAATTCATTACAGAATGAGGCATGTTTTGAAAGTTGTAATCCCATTTCAGCCTGAATTGCTTTTTTAAACCTCACTAAATCGTAGATTTCTTCAAAATACACTGGACTGGTGTTATATATGATAAAAGCTGCAAGGATCTTTATTGCAAAAGATCTTTGATCCCCTCTATGGAAGAATGATTAATTAAACTGAGAATATGCTTTGATGTCTAGAATAACTTCATATCTAGAAAGTAAATCTAATGTACAATTTAATCTTATTTGGATTTGTGCCACATTTCAAATTTGGGTTCTAAAGTTCATATTTGAATCTGACATACAATCTATACATTGTTTACAATATTTTTATATAATTTTTATTAAAGATTTTTAAAAAGAAAGCTAAAAACTAATACATACTAATATAAAGTAAGAAAAAGAAAAGAAAAAGAAATAAAAACTAAAAGTGCAAGAAAGAAAAAAGAAGTAGAAGAAAAATAGAAAAGAAAGAAAAAAATACAAAGAAATAGCTTTTAATTTTCTTTACAGCACTTATAATTATAAATTTATCTCTTAATCTATGGTTACAACATAACTCTCTTCTTTCTATAATCTGTCCTGTCTAATCATCAAAACCATAAATAACTTCATTTTTTTTTGTTTTACGCAAAAAGTTCATAAAGGGTTTCCAATCAGCAATAAATGTAGATATTGTCTTTTCTCTGATCAAAGAAGTCAATTTAGCCATCTCAGCAAGTTCCACCATCTTCACCAACCATTCCTCCATTGTGGGTAGTGCCAAATTTTTCCATATCTGTGCATACAATAATCTCGCTGCAGTTATCATGTACAAAAATAAAGTTCCATGACTTTTTTCCAACCGTTTGTCCATCAATCCCAAAAGAAAAACTTCTCGTCTCAATTGTATATTAATCTTTAAAATATTATTTACAATATTTTTCAATGTATTTATAGTTTTTCTTTTTCCTCTTGATTTTAATTGTGCTAATCAAATATTTTTAGAAATTAACATAAATTGATTAGAAATTGGGCATGAAATTTTAGATTTGCTGGTTATTCAAGATCTGTTAGTTATCTGCCTGCATTTTATTGATTATATTGGGGGGGTTTTCTTTCTCCCTTTTTACTATATTTTCTATATCTTTTAAATCAGTATTTGTATCAGTATTATTTCTTTTCCTTTTTCTTTGAAATTACAATAATAATAAATAAGAAAAGGATGGCAATATCTTGAAAAAAAAAAAAGGGGGAGGAGGAGACTATATGCATAGTTTGACCCTTTGTAAAGTATTGTTCTTGTTTTTCTTTAGATTTTGCAAATCCTCTAGTTCTTCCGGGATCCAGTGGGCCTGGTTCCACCATCACCTGCCCAGATCCCCCATCTGAAGATAGTGTGGCAACCATTGTCTCTATGGGCTTTTCCCGGGATCAGGCTATGAAAGCACTAAAAGCTACGGTGCGTTAAGAGAGAATGATTAGGCTTTAGAAAAACAGCTGTGGGGCTCCTGACTTGATTTTTTCTATCCTCTCATTTTTAGAATAACAGCCTTGAGCGGGCTGTGGACTGGATCTTCAGCCATATTGATGATCTAGATGCAGAAGCTGCCATGGACATCTCAGAGGGACGTTCAGCTGCAGAATCTATCTCTGAATCCATTCCCGTGGGGCCGAAAGTTCGTGATGGACCTGGAAGTAAGCTTGGAATGAAAAAAAAAAAAAAAGCTTGGTAGTTGAATAGCTTTATTTTTCCAATCCCGTAGCTCTTTTTAAGAATTCTTGTCTAATGTTACAGATGTCTGAGTGTTCTATTCTAGTCTTTCTTTCAGCTCAAAATTTGAAATATGCCCTCAGTGTTTGGGCTCAATGACACATTGCAGGATGATAAGCTATAGAGACACTATAGCTTGATAGTAGAGTATATGCTTCTCATATGTTCTTATCACATAATTAACTTAAGAGTTATATTCATAAGATATAAGAAGGATTTTGAAGCATTTATTAGACAGATTATGAAGGATTGGTCTATCAAGGTTTCTTACCCATGATATTGGCATACAACTTCCATGTTCATATGTGAATCCCTCTTGCTGAACAGAAAATGGAGGAGAATTATTGCCTTCTTGCTGCCCTTTCTTGGAAAGAAGGCATTAGTCTAAGTAGGTGTTGGTCTGATTCATTGGTCTGATATCTTTATGTAAGTTGGGCGTGTGTTTTTGTGCAACCACTTTCTAGGGGAATCTTTTTCCTTGATTCTCATGTATGTTTTCTACACTATCAATGGAGCTTTGCCTCCAATCTATACATATCAGTGGATCTCTTCAGTACAACTCTGTTTTCCTCCCAAGAGTTGTTGGGGAAGGCTCCACATGTTCATAATTCTGTCTTTTATTCCTTCAGAATACCAGCTTTTTGCTTTCATCAGTCACATGGGCACATCTACTATGTGTGGTCATTACGTCTGTCATATCAAGAAGGATAATAGGTAAGAAACGAACAAGGATGAGAGGATCTGGGAAGGCAAGTTACTTAACAGTAGTTACCGTTCCCTCTTCTGCAGTAGGATAGGTAATTGAAGGCAGGAATCTCCATCTGCCACTGTAAGAGAGACAAATGGGCTCCTGAGATTTCTGTGGCTTGCTTTTAAAACAGAGTTCTGCAACAAGAGAGCATAAATTATGTGAAGGGCAGTATATAAATTTACTTATTTTTGTTTCTTTGCTTCAAATAAGTAAAGTTTTTAATACATATTTTGATATAATTTATTCCACATTTGTTTGAAAGAGACTGTATGCAAGAGAGTGTTTTTAGCTCACTTCTGTAGCTTTAAGATTTTAGCAGGCTTTACCTATTCATAAGGATAGCTTTGCAACCTTAAGTGATTAAAAACAAGTTTTTAAAAAAAATAGGGTTGAGATCGAAGAATTCTATACCCAGTATTCTGATACTCTAGCAAAATTGCAATACAGGGTTCTTGTCTTGTTTTCTCTCCCTCTCCCCTGTCTCCCAGGTGGGTGATCTATAATGACCAGAAAGTTTGTGCCTCAGAGAAGCCCCCCAAAGATCTTGGGTACATCTACTTTTACCAGAGGATCCCCAGCTAGGACCTTCTCCTTCAGGGTGTGCAGCAAGAATCAGCTGATGTTGGGAGGACGGGAAATTACAGAGATGAAAATGAAGAAGAGGGACAACTTTCCATCCTTAGGTGTTCGTATACCACTGCTGCAGCCCCAGAGACAGGATTCCTTCACGTGGAAGCTGGAGTCTGGTGCCCCTGTGGACACTGATGGAGGGTTGGGGGGCTTGGGTGGATTTGAACCTCTGTGTAAAAGCAGGAAGAAAAATAGCATCTCACTGAACCAGTCATCCAAGGCTCATCCATGCACATGGTTTCTTCTTGGTGTAACTATAACACTCTGGGACAGTTTAGAGAATGGTGGGCATGAGAGGAAGCAGTTGAGTGTGTGTGGCTTTACGTACTAGATAGGATGGGTTCCCTCACCTGCCTGAAAACCATTCAGGAATAATCTGGCCATAAAGTAGAACCTGTTACTCATGTGCCTCTGAAATGCCAAAAACACACAGGATCAAATAAAAACCTTGTACCCTCCTTCAGTAATGGCTTGTTTGTATTGCTTCTAGTCCCTTCTGTTCTATGTCATAGACTATATAACTATATCATTCCTGGACTATTGTATTGCTGGGAAGAATGTGTACGTAAGCAAGAATATAACACATGATGCATTTTAGTAGAGGGTCATTCAGTAACTCCACGTTGCCATACTAGCACTTCAATGATACCCCCTTCTCTCCGTGCTTTTTCTAGCTTCCTCTTCCAAGGAAGAGATAAAAATCTATCCCTTGGAAGGTTCTATTGTTGCCTGAAGATGTCATGCTGTCTATGTATTGCTAAACTCCCCACCTTTTGCTTCCAAAGCTATATACAAATTACCAGTGGATCAATGTAAATGCAAAAATTCTTTTCACTGCAGAGATTCAGTGCCTTTATACAAAATGTACAATCCAAGGCTCCAGGGCAGTATTCTGTCTCAAAAGCCTTAAATGGAGTCTTCAAAAAAAATCCCAGACTGTTAACACAATTGTAATTCTTAAAGTGAGACAAAGGAAAAATATGAAATACATGAGAGTGATCTTTGTGACTGTCCCTACCCCCAGCTTTTTAGTGTATGGTACAAATATGCCATTGAAAAGTCCAAATGTGGTGGTCTGCACAAAAGTAGTTGTGCATCTCTGCCTTAATAATAAGGATCAAATGCACTAAGGTTGGTCTATTCCACTTGACAGCCCTATTTTGAGGATACATATTCAATTTGGCAGAATTTTAAAATTAAAAATCCATTAGAACATTTCCTGGATCGGCTCAGGGGAGGCAGAGGTTGTTCTTTATAAACAGATAAAGGTCCCCGGATTAGGAAATTTATTAAGATGAACCTTTGTACTTTTTTTGAAGTGGAACACACATATGTTGTACCTTTGTTTTTAGTAAAATGGGATGAAATTTGCATGTACTTTGGAGGCTTATGATGGAACAAAGAATGTGGGTTTTCACTGAAAATGACACAAGAGTTTAAAACCACACATCTTGGGCTTCATTTTCCCATAGATTAGCATAAAACCTCCCACACTTCACTTGTTTTCTGTTTTTCCCTCAGAATGGGATGAAATGTAACCTAAAGCATTATGAAAGCAGCCATATCTGCCAGTTTTCATTACAATTGATGTAGGTGTATAGAACTACGTATCTTAAAAATCTTGTGTTTAAAAATTGGGACATTTCCAAATGTTTCCTGTAGCCAACTAAAAATCTTTTCATTCCAGCTTTTAGATTTTGTTTTTCTTGCATGCATTTGAAACGTACCTCCAAATCAACCATGAAATACAGAAGAGAGAGATTAGGTTTTGGAATGCTTTTTATAGGTAAGTCTTGAAGATCCGGCTTTTTCCCCCCACATGGGGCCAGGAGAGAAATTGAGCCCTCATTGTTGACATATCGTGTCTTCAAGCAGCCACGTTTTGTTTAGCTGGTTTTGAAATATATGAGATAGGAGATAAGAGATGCACAATGTATGGGCTAGACCCTCCCAAGTCCAGATGGGAGATTCCACAGAAGGTCGTGGAGAATAATAGGGCTGAAACTTTGTTAACTACCCCAGACTTGCGTTAGTGAGATAAGCAGTCATATAAATCTATTTAAATAAATAAATGGAGATCAAAGGATGTATCTGGCCTGGAAGAGTAAGGAAGAAAAAAGTACTTACTGAAAGGTTGTCCCAGGTTTTGCATCTGTCATATTCACTGCTTTGTTATTTTGAATTTGCAAATAACTGCACATAAATAGTAAGTATGCATTCACATTTGCAGAAAGTTCTTGAGCTTAACTGTGTCCTATGCAGAGGTGGTATCAGTTCACTTAGGGGTTCAGTTGAAACACACTATTTGATTTGCATACAACTATATGAAGAGTTCTTCTTCTTCTCCTTAGCCAATAATCTTAAAAAAAAAACCCATTCTGTGTGCAAAAGAGGGGAAATGATGCTGTGGAAAATGTGAATCCTGCTCTTCCTCCCCACCGTGATATTTTGTGCCATGTAATGGCACGTAATCCCAGAAACATAAGAAAGAGCCCTTCCGAAGAGAGCAAGCATCTGTAAACGGACAAATGGAAAAGTGCAACTGCATCCATCCCCAACAGGCTTGTTTTTTTCCTATATGAAGAATGAACTCACCAGATGTATTCCCACCGTAGATGAATGAAATTCCTGAAATCCCTCCCACCAGGATCTCTAGCAGAATTTTTAAAAATCCATACTTGGGAAAACCAAGATTATCTTCAACTGCCTTTTTATGTGTCATTTCTAGATATGATGCCACTTTTCTACTGTGTTTCCCTAATTTGTATCAAAGGAGTAGGCTTAAGGTGACACTCCCAATATGTCAGAGATGAGAATTTCTCTCCCTCTCTGGAATTCCAAAGAAGCCTGTTAGAAGCACCGTAGACAAATATGCTGAATGGCTGAAATAATAAGTGCGGGAGTGTGTCTCGCGTAGGAGGAAGCAGTAGTTGGGATGCTTCGCATTGGTATACGCACGCACGTGTGCGCATACACACGGAGTGAGTAATGAATACGGATTTAAAAGTGCATCTCTCCTAGGCAGCAACAGATCAGAACCATATAAATGAAAGCTGCTTCTATTCTGCCTCAGTGTATAGCATCAATGAAATTCAGCAAACTTCCTCCAAAACGGCTAAATTATGGAAGTCAAATTCAGAAGAAAAAAAAAAAAACCTGGATTTTAAGGCAGGGATTTGAGCTGCGCATGCTCCTGAATTCAGACCCCTTCTACTCCAGGGCCGCCTTACAGAATATGCAATGCTGTCGCTCACAGTTTAACTAGTACAGCAAGCACGCATTTCAACAGAGGAACTACTTGGTTCTTCATAAACAAGTCGCCCGCTCAGGCTCGCTTCCCCAGACACAAAGCAGAACTCTCGCCATTACGCCACGGCAGGAAAACGCGGGCTCCGCCTCCCGCCTCGACTGGCCGAGCGAGAAGCCAGTCGTGGAAGCGCGCTCTTCGTGACGTCACTGGGGGGCGGGCTTTCCCGAGCTTTTATAAAAGCGCTTGGAGGAGGGCCGCGCTGCCGCTGCGCTCTTTGACCTTCTGGTCTCCTTTGAAACCTCTGAGCGTACGGCCCGGACGCCCCCATCATGGCACCGAGGAAATTCTTCGTCGGCGGGAACTGGAAAATGAATGGCGACAAGAAGAGCCTCGGGGACCTCATCCACACTCTCAACGAGGCTAAGGTCCCTGCAGAGACCGGTGAGGGGCGCTCCTGGCGCGGGAGGCTTCCTGCCGGCTGAATGGGAAGAGGAGGGAGTTGCCGTCCTTGGGGGGCCGCGAGCGCTGCGGAAAGGAGGCTCCCCCGCGTGAGCCCGGCCGGCCGGAAGCGCCGTGCGGCAGCAGCAGCCCCGTTTTCTTCGCTTGCACCCTGTCGCTGTCCCCCAATTTCAGGCGTACCGGCGGGGGCCTCGGGTGGGTTTCCTGGGCGCGGGGAAGGGGCCTCGCCTACCCCGAGAGCGCCTACCTGTCCCCTCTCGGATTGGCCGGGGAGGCGGCGTTGTCTTTCGGGCGGGCTATTGCTGAGCATCCCTCGCCTCGCAGAGGAGGTGCCCGCCGTTGCCGCGCTTCAGTGTGGAGCCCCTCCTCCTGTTGGTGTGGCTGCCTGCACGTACTCGCGAGCTGATCGGGCAGTCTCTTAGCGGAGTTGCACGAAGATGAATCAGCTGTCGGGGAAGGCAGGCTCGGGCTTGAAAGAGGGGCTATCTGTTTATTTCTTCGATTTATGTAGCCACCCACCTCGCAAAGCAACCATGGGTGAAAACTATATAAACCATTGTGTAAGTTTTGCTACATTGCTAGCTTTCGATCTCTTGCAGAAAATCAGGCTCTGCAGATCTTGGTGGGCCATGGGTCTCTGCTGCTTTTACATTTTTAGCCACTCATACAGAAGAGATGTTAGATTCAAGCACAAATATGAGGGACAATAAACTTAACTATTAAAGCTATATAATTTAAAGCCCTTTAAATAGGATACATGAATAACATATATAATCCACAATAACATTTCAAAGAGCCAGCTTAGAATATTATCTCCCTTGCTTCCTGTAATGGCAGTCCTATGATGACTAGGCCTATTTGCAGCCAGTTTGCCCGAATCACAGTAACGTCTGTGTTTAAAGAGAGTCCATCTGCTGTCTTTGGGAGTGAAGCAACAAGATAGGGATTGCCAAATTGGTCTGCTTATGAACCTCCCTTCAGTCCTTCCTGCTAAGTGAATCTAAGCAGTGTTTTAAGCGATCCTAAGTGAAACAGTTTGGTCAGCCGTCTTACAACAGTCATGCAGAGTAGCAAAAGAGGATGATACAACTGGTGTCTGTCTGCTGCCTCTTAACACCTGAGTCCTTTCCTTGCAGGAAGATAGCATCCTGGCATGTTGCAGAACAGGGACGAAGGTGTCTCTTAATGCTATTGGCATAACCCTCCCAGTAGGAATTCCTTGGGGAGCAGTGACTTGATAAAAAGTAATAGGCAGAGCCAAACTGCTCTGGCAAGTTTTCTGCTACCTCCATCAAATCAGAAAGGGCAAGGTGGATTGAGAAAGGATCACAGTTTCTGAAGTGGTATCCCGAAGGAAATGTCAAAGGCTGTGGAAGAGAGAGATTCCTAAAAATAGGTGCTAGGGTAGTGCTTAAAAATACCAGCTACTGTACTTGGAACTGGAAACTTTATCCCTATAGCCTGCTAAAGGTCAGGAGACGGGTTGAAGTACAAGAGATACAATTTATTGACCCAGATACTCCTTCTATTAATACCCTTTCTATATTGTGCTGCTGGCTTGATTTAGTTGGGTAAGCTACATTTGAATGGTTCTGTGTTTCCTGGTCTACATTACTAATGCTGTATTGAGCAGAATATCACTGCAGTATCACAAATAATGGGTAGTTTGTCCCTTTCCTATGTTTTTTTAGCCTGCTTTAAAAAAAACACTCAAGTATAGAATAAATATAGAAGAATCATTCACTGAAACAGAA